TCTTTTTTCTTGACAAACTGCCCTGGCTAGAACCTCAAGTATAATAATGAATAGATGTAGCAAGAACAGAATCTTTGTCTTCATCCTGATCTTAGGGAGACAGTATCCTATATAATAAAAGAGAAACATGTAAATTGACCGTCCCTTCACTACACTCGCCAGATGATCAGAAGCAAGTATGCAAATTAACCCAATAAAGATGGCAGGTTAATCTGCATACACAGGCACCGGCAGAGAGCAGAGCAGGAGAGCTGGCAGCCTGGGGGGACGTGGTTCCCTCGGTTGCTCCCCCAAGCTGCTAGGCGGAGAGCACAGTAGGAGAGCCGGCTGAGAGTGGAGCGGCTTGGGGAACTTGGCTCCCCAAGCCACCAGACAGAGAACAGAGAGGGAGAGCTGGCAGCTTGGAGGACTTCGCAGAATGAGAGGCTATGGGATGGAGACAGAGCAGGAAGAGAAAACCAAGAGCACGGGGAGCACCAGGAATGCTGGGAATCGCAGTTCTGGTGGCAGATGGATCTCCTAGACACTACAGCAAAGTGAGCCTGGAGCAAGTTACTGTCACGGGGGGGGATGGAGGGAAAGCAAAGGTGAGAGACATAAGTAAAATCAGAGTGTCTAGGAAAAATTAAAGGGAAGATATCCTAAAACTTCCAGGACATATCCACCAATGAAGCAAAGAAAAAAAAAGATGCCTCTATTATTCTGTGAGCAACAAACCAAACTGGGTTGGGGGGGTTCTCAGACAATTCGCTCATATGATTGCAAAGACAGACAGAAACTCCCGGATTGGAGAGGGCTCCCCTGAGAGTGCCCAGATTGGAGAGGGTGCAGGTCGGGTTGAGGGACCCACCCCCAGGGCACAAATCTTCATGCACTGGGTCCCTAGTCCAGTATAATTACAGCTTTGAGTTTTTCCTAGATGCCCTCTATCAGGTTGAGGAAGTTCTGTTCTATTAATTTTAAGTCTTTTTTATCATGAAAGTGTGTTGGAATTAGTGAAATGCTCTTGCTGCATCTTTTGTGATGATCACATGGTTTTATTTTTTATTCTATAGTGGGGCTTTGACTTACGAGTTTAATTCGTTCCGTGATGGATCTCGTAAATCAAATTACTCGTATATCAAATCATAAAGTGAATGAGTGAGACACGTGATGCTGGGCTGATGTTGTGGTTCACTGTGATGTTCGCTGCACCAACTAGCGGTGGAGTATCTGAAGCTGGCTCGTAACCCGAATTTTAGCTCGCAACTCAAAGCAAAAAATCGGCTGAGAGACGGCTTGTATCTCAAAAACCTCATTAGTCGGGACACTCGTAAGTCAAGGCCCCACTGTATTTAAAAGGTATATTGCACTGACTGATTTTCAGGTGTTCAGCTATGTACTGCATTTTACATCAGATGATGCTCATTATGCCACATCAACTCCCTATTAGCAGTGATTCATGACTGGCTTCAGGAATGACAGCATGATACCTCCACTGTAAAGTTTCATTTTTTTCTCTTATGACTATCAAGTAATCTATGAGATGACAATTTAGAACCATGTGAATATTGTTCCTTATCAACTCGAGTCTCAACGGTTTTCACATCCAGTAATGATCCTTATTTATCATATACTAGAGGCCCGGTGCAGAACACCTCTCCAATCCGAGACTCTTTGGGGGATGTCCGACTGCTATTTTAGGCCTGATCTTGGGCATCGGGTCTAAACCGACAGTCGGACATCCCTTTCACAACCCGGGACCGCTGGCTCCTAACTGCTCACCTGCCTGCCTGCCTGAACGCGCCTAACTGCCC